ACACGGCGAAAGAGCTTCCTATACTTGTCACCCAAAGAAGATATGAAGAAGAGAGATGGAGACAGCAAGAGACACGAGCGTGAAGAAGAAGATCATCTAGGTATGTCTGTTTGAATTTATTTTTGTTTAGTCCTGGCAATTTCTTCTAATTCCCGAGTTGTTGAAACAAAATAAAATACTATGTCATTCTGATTTCTTACAGGCCAATGCGCTGTTCTTCTAGTGCTAAGCCAATGACTCGTAATAGGGCCACACAGCATATGAGAAGTCCCCTGAATCCTGAAGAAATTGGCGAAACACTCACTAAAGCTGAAACTTCTACTGTAAGTTTTCACTAGTTTTGTTTGCTTTCGTCATGTCTTTGATGTTTTTTTACAAATTTGGTTGCCTGAAAATAGGCCTCTGGAGGGCCGAGAAAGAAGAGGGCTTATGCTGTGATGAATGATAATACTCCTCCAGTTATAAGTAAACCAGCTAGGGTATCAAAAGCAAAGGTAATGAATGAGACAATATTCTCTGAAGATGATGCGTTATTAATACTTCAAGAGATTTACAGCTTTTACAAGACTTCTGGCGATCCTAAGGAAAACTTTAAAAAGGATATGTCTTCTTCTGGTGACCTGTCTGGCTTTTGTAACCATTTGAAGCCAAAGATTATGCGCAAATCTTCTATCGCCCAAGTCAAAAATAAGATTTATAACTTGAGAAAGTCACTTGCAAACGTTTCCAATTTTGTGGTTACGGCAGAAGGTGGACTAGACATGGTTGTGAATCATAAACGCTTCCAATTGTGGAAGCAGATTTGGGGAACTGGTGGTCTTCTAGACAAACAGGACCCACATGATGAGGATGAGGTTTTTATAAATGTTTTGTGTTTAAGATGTTTAAACTGCTTAGGATCGTACTAATGGTCTCTAAAACGTTTTGTACGTGCAGCGTGATACAGAAAATGTTCCTCAGTGAGGAACAGCTTATGTGAATGCTGACGACGAAGGAGAAAATCAACATCAAACTACTGGTGTTGATATTGATGAGGTAAGAAAGATACTGCTGATGATGGTGTGATACAAAACAACAATTAACTTGTAATGAGTTGTACTTGCAGCTTCATACAGAGGATGTTGGTGATGATGTTGTAAATCAAACTACTGGTGTTGATGCTGCAGAGATGGTAACTGAAGAGCAAGGAAACGACAATGAAGAGGTAAGTGTGAGCTTTCTAAGATTTAGGAAGCTAAAATAGATCCTTGTTGCAGACAGATAATGCTGATGATGGCGTGAATGAAAATAATGATAAGAGTTTAGAGATGTAAAACTTTACCGTAAGTCTCTGTACTTCTTTATTGATCAACAATGGTGAATACAAGAACCCTAATTCCTAACCACACCATTACCAGAGACGCAGCTCTGAACCTAACACACCTCACAAATGATCACGCAAGATCATTTCTACATTTGCTCTCTATTCCTATTTATACTTTTATTCTTCTCATGATTCTCTTTAGTTCTTCACACGTGCCTCTTTTGCTCCCACATGTGCTCTCTTATCAAATAACTTTGTTCTGTACCTGCAGTGTTGTACTGAAGCCAGCGGATCAAATCCTTTGGGGGGGGAGGGGGGGAAGCACAAGGGACTCACGGGTCCCAGAGGGAAGAGAAAGAAGATCCTCTTATACAAGTTCTTCGAATGGTTGATGGAGAGAAAAAACCTCCAATGGGATACATATATGCAGCCATGGATCGAGCTAAAGAGACAATTATGCGGAGTTTCACTATGAGAGACGAAAACTACAAAGCGGCGTTTAAGATCATTGATAGAAGATGGGAATGTCAACTTCATAGGCCTTTGCATGCAGCTGGCTACTATCTAAATCCAGAATTTCATTATTCAAATGAAGACATAGGTTGTGAGGAAGTCTTGAAAGGTTTTTATGCTTGCATTGAAAGGTTGACTCCGACAATTGAGATTCAAGATAAGATAATAGCCGAGTTGGATGCATTTAAAAATACTACGGGTCTCTTTGGTATTCCAATGGCAATAAGGCTGAGAAAATCACAATCACCAGGTATAACTCTCAAGTCTGACATCTTCGTTTTCATAATTTAATTTTTGATAAAAACTTACGATAATTTCACTTTAATAGCTGAATGGTGGTCTTCTTATGGATCTTCAACTCCAAACCTCCGGAAGTTTGCCATAAAAGTTCTTAGCCTCACTTGTAGTGCTACTGGTTGTGAGAGGAATTGTGGTGTTTTTCAACTAGTAAGTAACCTTAATTCGATTTAATTATATTATGCATACAAAAATTACACAGCTTCTAATCTTCTCTTCTAACAGCTTCATACTAAAAGAAGGAATATATTGAATCAATCTCGGTTGAACGACATGGTATTTGTGAAATACAATCGCGCTCTACAACGTCGATACAAGAGGAAAGACACCGTCGATCCTATTGTGTTAGATGAAATTGATGAATGCAATGAGTGGCTGACTGGGACAGTGGAATCTAATAATGAAGATGATCTTGTGTTTGAAGATGATAACTTGACATGGAATGTAGTTGGTGAGGCCGCAGGAGCTAATGATCCATATTATGCAACTAGATCAGCAGCTGCTTCAAGTAGATTTGAAAAAGGAAAAGGCGTTGCTACTGATTCTGGTGGACATGGTCGTTGCAAAGCACCTCGCAGGCCACTATCTACTTCTAGTCCTATGACTTTGGTTGATGATGATGAAGAGATGGAAGAGGATTTCATTGGACCAGAGTTTGAGGATACGCTTTTCGAAAGAATGATTATGAGTATGATGACTCTGGTTTTTAGATGATTAATGGTTTAAGAACCATTGTGTTTGCTACTTTGCTTTTATATCTATGTGTTTGCTACTTTGCTATTATTCTACTTGTTGTGGATTGGATTAGATTGTTTTGTGGTATTTTATTTTGGTTTCTAAAGTTTAACTAAGTTTAAGAAAGAAATAAGTTTGTTACATCTTTGTTTTCAAATTGATGCGCCTCGTGTCTAAGTGGCGCTGCGCCTTATGCGCCATGGCCCATGGCTCCATAAGAGAACATTAGTGCCACGGTGCGCTTTGCGCCATTTAAAACTCAGGTCACTAGTTCCAGGTGGAGTATCTGACGAGAAGTGTTTAAGAGAAACACAAGTCTTGAGATTGAAGTGATTTGTCAAGCAAAGATGATTCTCAGCAGCCATCACTTGAAAATTGATTAAATCGTGTTTGAACAAGGATATCAGTTTCAGGTGGAGTCATTGTTGAAACAAGGAATGAGAATTTTTGGAAAATTTCAGAGAAAAGGCTCAAAGAACATGTTACCAGAAGTTGTTGTCTTCAAGCAGCCCAAATATGGTCGTTGGTTGTGGTGATTCAACTATTAACAGAATAGATCGGGTTAGAACTCTCGGTTAAAATCTGAATCACAAAATTTCAACTAAGGCAAGAAAAGTTGGTAAGAAAAATTGGTTACCTACGGGTTGTTGTCGGAACCAATTGAGCTGTGACCTCGTCGGAGGAGACTAATAAGAAGCTTCAGCATTGCCAGAGAAGAGTTGTAGCTTGCCGGTGAAGTGTCGGAGCTTGCTACCTGAAATGGTTTCAAAAGGGTGAAACTTTTAAGTTTCTCAAATTCTGGAATTTTTCAAGGATCCTAAGTCTCTAAGTGTCACAAGAAGAAGACAAGAGAGAGATGAGAGAGTACCTGAGATGAACGGTGACGGCGGTGGTCCTATTCACCGGAGGAGACGAAGAAGAAGCTTTAGATTCATTGGAGAAGAAGCTTCAAATTCATGGGCAGTGACGAAGGAATGTCTCTTGATTCGTCGAAATTCGGAGCTGCCGTGAAACAGGTGGAGGCTGAAGTGTGCTTTCACCGGAGGTATCCATCGGAGAAGGCTGTGGTCGGAATCAAAATTGATTTCGATTTCCTACCATCTTCTCTCCATCACGGGAACGAGAGGAATCTTGGAGGAGATTGGTGGAGATGATAATCGGAGATGGAGGAGGATCTCACCGGAGTAGATCGCCGGAGGAGGTGGCGATCTGGTGGTGGTCTTGAGCTTCACGAAGTGACAAAGGGAAGAGGTTGGTTTTGGAGATGTCGATATCGTCGATGTTGTGTTTTTGTTGGAGAATTGTTATTTGAGTTTGACAAAAGCACAAAATTTGGGCTTTAGTGGGCCAAACGAATGTGGCATGGAGAAGAAGAACAAAAGTGTGGGCAATAATTTGTGGCCCAAATTCATAACTTATATATCTCTTTTACAACAACATACGAGAGATAGTGGTGGTAGGTGAAACAAGATAATCTAAAGAGAGTTCTAGAGAAAAGAGATACAAGAGCTTCCCAAGCAAGTTTTCTTCTTTCTCTTGGTTGATCTTGAATTTTGTTCTTCTTGTGTGAAACATCTGTAAACCAAAACAACATCCACAAGTTTGTGGTGCTTGTAACCTCTTTGAGATAGTGAAGCTTTGGAAGCAAGAGATCTCCCCCGAGACGTAGCGGTTGAGGCCGTGAACTCGGTTCAAATAATGACGAGAAAATATGTGTCTATCCGAGAGTTCTTCGGCGTTCTAGTATATGAGTAGAGGGAGAGTCTGTTTCTGGGAAACTATGATAGTATACTTTTTGGTTTAAACAATATGATGTTTGGTGCAAAGGTTTTGACGAGTCGAAACCTTCCGACAGAGTGGGGTTCGAGCTCTCCAACAAATGGGGAGGAAGAGGGAAGAATATACCTTCCAAGTGGTGTTGGCTTCTCTTGAAATGGTAGCTGTTAAATGTAGTGTATAACTTTATATGATGTTTGATGATTTTTTATTAATTAGATGATGCAAGTTTCTATTCAAAATTTAAATATGCATTTAATATTTTGTGATCATTTCTATTCTACATTATTTGCTATGATTGGTTGAAATGTTTTAAACTAAAATATTATTGTAATGAAAATTAAAATCTCTTAATATACATGCTTTTAAACAAAATTATTTTATACAATGGATAGAAAGGAGTAAGAAAACTAAGAAACTCATAATTGACTTCGAAACCTAACCAGAAAAGGGTTGAGAAATCTCCTCAAAAAGCAAAAGAAAACTAACGACAAAGTAAAACAAAACCCTTGCTTGTCGAACACATAAATTCCAAAACCAAACGTGTTCGAGAAAACCTAAAGCCCAACATAAGATGTGCTGCATCAGTATTGAGATATCTTTATATATTTTAACAAAACCGAAGTAAATGTCAATTTGGCTCTTGGCTCAACTTGTTGACACAAATCTTCAATTTGAACGATTGCCGTCCACACAAGAAATAGGAAGGAACCAACATGAAGTCCTCACTACAAGAAATTTGTTCATTGTTAGCGCTAAAAATATGCTATCTTACGTTATAGATAGCGAATTCACAAACGCTATGTTCTCGGCAGCTATGGTAGAGGACACCCATACGATAGCGTTTTCTGACATGCTATTATAGATCGTTCAATTATAGCGGTAATAGAATGCTGCAATATACTATATTATAGCACACATTTAGTGTTATTTTATATTGTATTGTAGCATATTTCTATTTGATATATATATTACTATTATATTTAAATCCTGTTTTGCAAAATAAATTTAATTGGATTAATAATATAAATTTTATTTTTTCATAAATCATCAAAATACATAAAAGTATTACTACATCATCCATCTACATATACATTTTTATAGTACTTTTTTGCTTTAATTCTTTTGGATCCGGATTTGACCCGGGTTTTAGTCTATTCGGATCTTGGATTAGCAATTTAAGGGATGTTGTCTTAATTTCAAACTAATAAATGAAGCCATGTTGTCTTAATATTTTTCATATTAATGACCCTAATAAATAGCCGATTTTAATGGAAAATCGTTTTCATATTTATGCTCATAATAAATGTCCAGATTTTAACAATATATACATATATTATGAAATTATAAAGAAAAAAACGTATTTATTTTTTTAACAGTATATATATATATATATATATATATATATATATATTATGTTAATAAATTTGTTTAATATTCTAATAATAAGCTATGTCATTTTTCTTTTACAATAACAGATTAAATATAGGCAATTGCCCATTTAAATTGCAATAAATTTAAAATCAAAATAACAATCTACATATATATTTTTGCAGGGTTTTTTGCTTTTAATAATTTGGATCCGGGTTTTACTCGGTTTTACTATATCCGGATCTTGGATAAGACATTTAAGGAAATCTAAAAAAAACCCATCATTAATGTAGATAATTACACATATATTTCGGTATAAGCATATTCCAAAAATATCTCCCAAATCAAAGATGTTACGTTCAAAAATTGTTGTCAAAAATCTCTCGCTTTCCTTCTAAATCTCTACCATTGGCTGTCATCCCAACTAATTACTCATAATTATCTTTCCTATATTTCTTTTTTTTTCGAGATTTGCAAGAAAATTATTCAATTCCAAAAATAAAAGATTTTGAAGATATTGTGTACTTGATCAGCAAGATTTTAGGAACTCACTCACCCAAAACCCTATAGTATTCTCAAAACATTATAAATACCTTTCATTAATTAGTCTAATAAAAACTCACCAGTTTTATAGAAAATGAGAAATCGCAGACGTGATGCAATCTGTACGGACTCCGGGAAGAGCTAGGAGACAGTGGTGAACCGGGATCTAAACCTCGCCGACGATGTGAAGATGGTGACGAGGAGGAGATCGTAATTCTTTAGGTTTCGATTGGCAAAACAAGACGATCGGCGATCCAAAGCTCCACCGCCTGAAACGCAACATCGAACTGATCACACCGAATATCTTCAGATTTCGGATATGCTTTTCCAGTGGTAGCTTCAAAATACACGCCGGGAACTCCTTGATACGCTACACGGAGAGTAGATCCATGCGTTTTGCTGCAGCTTTGAAGAAACAAGGCTCAGATCGACGGAGCCGTTACTGTGACCGTTAACGACGGTGACTTCATCTGCTAAACCACCGATGATTGAGTTTGAACTTTCCGTTTCTAAGTTTTTCATTTTGGGTATATGAGAGAGTTGAATAAAAACAAATTGGGTTCTGTAGGTATTTACAAAATTGGTAGACATGATTCTTTGTTATTGGGTTCTAATACTCTATGTGTTTATTTTTTCATTATGTGAACTAATGAAAGTTGCATACTTAAATTTTTTTTCATGGCAGTTCTAAACATATTATTTTTAATATTTGTGATTATATAACAATAATAGGTTAGTGTTAATTACATGGATCATTAAGGTTTGAATAGTGATAAAATAATTAGAAAATACAAATAAAATAACAAGGCCGGTGCAAAACTATTAATTCAGACCTTAATTATCGGATCAGTTCAAGCTTTAACCCATGTCTTTTTCTGAAATTGCTAAAAATAAGTAATGTTCTCAAATAAATTCAAATATCAAATCTTCATAAATACATTAAATACGTAAGATTTAAAATTATGGAGCAATCTTTTCTAATTAAATTCAAAAATTTTTAATTCAAAAATTTATAATTCAAATATTTCTAATTGATATATTTAAATTTTTTGGCTTTTGTTTGCCCATTTAGCTATGGTTTTTGAGTTTTTATAAAATATTTTAAATATTACGGGACGAATTGTATGACACGGGTTTGGTTAGGATTGATATTAAAATAAATTTAAAATATCACTAATACATCGCTATAACACATATTAAATCCTCATTTTATTATTTAAAATTTAGCATACGGTATACCGCGAGTAAAATCAGTATAAAACGGGTTAAATCAGCATCTTATTCAAAATCATACAATTGAATCTATTGTTTTTATACTACGTCTATCTATAAAATTTCGATTTTTGTAATAAAATTTCGTCTCACGGTATATTATACATTTAAATTAAACAAAACAATAATATATATCTATAGAGTATCTTAAAACAAAACTTAATAAATTTTTCTAATAAAAATATAGACCCGCGGTGTACCGCGGGTTAACATCTAGTTTTTTACATAACATCATACAAATTTTTAAACAAAATAAAGCTAACATCATAAAGATAAACTTCAATCTCCTTTATATGTTTCGCCTTCCCATATCATTCTCGTCCATAATCTCTGTAAGCATGTGTACAAAAGCATCAACATATATCACAGTCTTCAATCTTGTTTCCTCAATAGTTTTTATCTTAAAATCAATGATGCATCAAACGCCAAAAATTTAACAAACTCAGAGAGACATCTAGAAGAAAATAAAGAGATAACTCATACATATATCAGTCTCTAATTTTTTTACATGATAAAGAGATTCAAACCCAATAGTGGTGATGAAGCTCATGGTAATAATATTAAACAAAGAGGATGCTAAACTAATCTATGTATATAAACCAAATAACGAGATCACAAAACATGGTGAAATCATTAGTTGCAAATAGTTCTACCTAAAGTAGACACACCACACCATAGAAAACACAACAGTTTTAAAATCATCAGAATAAAGAAAAGAAAAGAGCAAGGTATTTATATTCTTAAAAGACTACCTCTTTCGCGAGCATTCGTCCTCAACATGTTCTTGTATATTCTGCTCAGCTATCTGTAATAACATTAAAGCAAAGGTATTTGGAGCAGCAAAGTATTAACATTATTTCCACTTGTCTTATAAACTAGTCTCTGCATATCACAAAGAGAATACATAACTACAAAAGACAACCTATGTTTTTATCAAAATGTAAAACTAATTAAGATGTTAGAAATATCAAAAGCACCTGAATTATCCTTCCTTGTTCTTTATTTTGCCAACCATCAAGTCATCCACAAAAAATCCATAATATCAAACGGAGAAATTAACCAAACAAAGCACTAAAATTCAAATAGACAATGTGTAGCCAAACCTGAAGATCATCAACTTCACAGCCAACGTGGAGCAAGACCCTTATACAAGCTGCAAAATAAGAAATCAAACACAAAAGGCTAGCAGTAACAAGAAAGTACCTTCCAAAAAAATGGTTACATTTGAACAAGGCTGGCTTTCCCATCCAATTGATTACATTATTCTATAGCAACTAGAAAACTATACGTGCATGTTTACCACCACAGGAGATCCTTCACAAAATGCCAACATACATATAATACCGTAAAGTGTCAGGTTTTTTTTTTGATAACCCAGTATCCAGACCACACAGTGATCTGACTAGCCCACTGGGCCTAAGCCCGCGTCACAGAGATTTTTAAGCCTCCACTTAAGGGCCTCCTGATAGACTGGTGGTCTGGGGCGCCTGAGCAAGTCCGCAGGTAAATTCCCAGGTGGCCACAGGAGTGAGAGAGCGAAACTGCGTCTGGGGAGGATCGATCCCTGGCCTAGACCCACAGGGCGATCCTTCCAACCAAACGAGAACCACTCGCCCACCACCATGTGGTTAAGTGTCAGGTTTCAAGGGCTTCATTGTTGTGTCTACATGCAAGGCTATTATGAGAAAAAATTGGCCGATTCGGAAATTCAGATTTAAGATTGTCTCAAAGAGAAAATAAGGAGCAACCAACCTATCAAAATATGCCAACAGTGGTAAAACTTCAACCGGCTGCACGTTTTTATTGGTGGAATGAATTGGTTGAGACTTGCATGCCTCAAAGGATGCTTCAATATCCATGATTTGTCTCTCTCTAGAGACCAAATAAAATAAACCATTAGACCTTCTTTTTTCACTTTGTTTAGAAATACACAAATTTGAGAAACAAGACACCTATTGTTAAGATTCTGCAAGATGTTGATGCCTCCTTTCATCTCTCGCAGTTCCTTTGCTTGTTTCTCAGTTAGCGACTACACATGGAGAACATATGAGATTGGAAATTGCTTTTACAAGCTATAAATCACAAAAGAAATTTCTAACAAGTGAGAAATACAATTAACGTAGCTAAACGTAGTCAACCATGGAAACAAATTAAAGAACTTACAATTTCAACTCTTAAAATGACCAAATCTTAATAAAGCAATAGAGAAAAAGAAGCATAAAAGACCTTTCCTGGTTTTGTTTTTTTTTTTTACGAGAAGCTTGAGATAGAGATTATCGGACTCAGGAGCAGTCTTTTTTTCTTCTTGTTCTTACCTCCTACTACATATCGTTACCCTACAACACCAATAAAAAAACAGACCGGCTTAATGCAATTTTTCCAGTTTGAGTCTCACCTAGACATTTTATCGAACATCTAGAGTGCACAATGAGCTCATCTACAGAAAAACTACATAATCAAAATCCCAAGTCAAACTGGTTAAAACTAAGCAACAATAAGAGATAAAGTTGAATGAATGAGAGATTTCGATACAGAATCTGGAAATGTAAGCGGGGATGATAGAGATGCACAAAGAGAATTTCCCGAAAGCCATGAATAGGGGTCTTCAGATGGTGGCGACGCCGAGCCACAGTGAAGAAGAAGAGGCAGCTTCAACAATTGAGAGAAAGCCCTAATTCACTAGCTATCGATTCGGAAGAGAAAACAAATCGGGAAAACTTTGGTTGATGATAAACACCTCTACAAGTTGGCGAAACCAGAAGCATGTGACGGAGGACGAAATTGTGACCATTGACGGAGGAAGAAATTGGGGCTGGCGGCATGTTTAGTACCTACAGCTAGCTTCGACAGTGGCAGCGGCGAGATTCGTGGGTGGTTGGGACGAAATTGGGATGGGTGGCTAGGTCTAAGCGATTTTGTTTAGGTCTAGGGGAAAAAGGAGAAAAATCTTAAGTGTTCGTGTTACAGTGAATTTTTGGCTAAGTATTAGCGGGATAAATGATTTTACTTTCCCGCTTATTGATTTTCTATTATAGCGATTATTAAATGGTATACATAGCAACCTAATTCTAAAATTGATCATTCATAGCAATTCAGTAAACCGTGCTATAGTCAAGTGCTATCAATGAAGACTTTTTTTGTAGTGCCTCTTGAGGGATTTGAAAACTCAGTTTTCGAATGTTCTTCACCTTCATCGATTTATACACGATAGCACGTTCATGAAAAGTAGTTGATATATGACACGAGAATTCACCAACTTCCGGCGAAGAAGGAGCAATACAGCTCGCAGTCACATAAGTAATACCATTTGGGTCACTAAGACATTGCACAGTAAACAATAGGTCTTCCTTATATGCGTTCATAGCCATTATTGCCCTCTCCTTGAAGTCAAAGTCTAATTCAACAAATTCTCCAAGAACAAACCAACAATCAACTCTTCCTATGTCGCGATGAATACCAAAGTGATAGTACACATCCTTGTACAAGCCACTATAATTGCAGTTCTGTATGGGGCAAAAGCAAGGAGAGAAGATACATTCCTTCTCATGAGTTGATTGTTTCCCATAAGAGACTTTCTTGGTGCAACCAAACTTGGCGTTTTGGCATGGGACAGAGATTGATTCAAGAATACTCTCCATTGCTCTGCAGCGATTGTGACCGACAGGCAAAGTACAAGCAGGGCACTTATTACTCAATTTGGGACAGCAAGAAGCGCAAGCTAAATGTCCATTATCACACTGAAATACGAAATCAATGAGCCATATTCAAGAAACGGAATCTAACAAAAGGATTTTCCACTTAACTTAATATCAACCAATCATCTGAAGAACCCACGCAATTGTGGGCTAAAATATAATCTGGTTCTGAAGACACCTAAGACTGACTACTAAATGAACACAATTCCAAATATCATCTTCTTAATGCAAATTAAGTTTGACCCAAAAAAAATATATATGAATCAACAATAAAATATTTGAAACGTACCTGGAAGATAGGAATAGTAAATGGCTCAACGCAAATAGGGCAATCAAGAAAATCAAGATCAAGCATTGCCGAGCGTGTTTCATCCTCTGTTCGTTGCCTCCTTTGCAAGTGAATGTTGCTCAAACCATTTACAACGCTTGAGGTCCACCCCATAGGCTAAAATTGAATTGACTCAGGTTTATTACTCTACACACTTAACATAAGAGAGGTGGTTTTGCTTGAATTCGAAAGAAAAACATTAATCGGATAGGAAAGCAGCGTTCGATTTTAGGGTTAGGATAGGGTTCTTGGGTAAGAAGAAAGATTATTCTTAAAGTTTTTCTTAGGTAAGAAGAAAGATTACCTAGGTTTATTATGTAGGAAGAAAGATTTCTTCTCGGCGACAACCATAATAACCATTATTTAAAAATAAATTTGACGTGTGGTATATATGTCATTTTCAATATGGTTATTTTTCTTCCAGCTAAATCTAATGCTAACAGTATAATTAATGTCCAATTACCTTCCACCTTAAAATGATTATTGTGTTGTTGTTTAGGCTACTCTTCCACCATCACAGTTGTTATTTTTTCAAATAAAAAGTGTAGTTGATTTCATAATTATGTTACGATAGGCAGGCGTGTCAAAGAATTAATCAGTTAATGGTTGCCTTGAATGATTAATTCTTTGTTTAGTTTCATTGTCAGCTTTGTACAAGTATTGTGATGCTTGCCTTGAAAGGTTGGTCAAAGACCTTATTAAGGAAGGAAATGTCTCGGTGAGATGTTGTTTGCACCAAGTTCTTCAACCCATCATTGCTGCGTTCTTCGATCCGAGAAGAGTCTTTCAACAAACTCACTCGTGCTTACTTGAATCACCACCAAAATAGCAAAGAAACATATCGTTCGATAGGTTTTGTTGCTTTCTATTGGTTCAGTACGTTGTTGTTATTTTCATTATTGTAACTCTGTATTTTTTTTTTTTGGTTTTTATTGATATATCAGTTTAGTACTAAATAAGTTTTTTCCTTTGTCTACCATTATTTCTATTTCCTTGTATGTTTTGACGATACGGAAATATTAATGTGGAATTTTGTATTGGTTACCCTCAAAATCATCTATTGCAATATGATCATTGAAGAAGATCTTGTAGTCATGGTCAATTATTTGATAGGTTAATTAAGAAATGTTCTTAATTTAGATTAATCATACATCTTTGGTTCTCACTTCATTTCTTTTTTTGGGCAAACTAAACTTCAGTAAAATGAAATCAGAGTTTTACACTCCATTAGAGGAGGAATTGGACATAGCCACAAGGGCTGATTTAGCAAGAGAATCGGCTAAAACATTTTCCGTTCTTGGAATAAACACAAAAGAGATAGAAGTGAAGGTAAGGCTAAGCAGAGTAATATCGTGGAGGATCCATTTAAGCTCCATTGTACTTTCCTTCGAGGTGATGAGTGAGATTAGGACCTGAGAGTCCGACATAATAGTGAGAGAGGCGATATTTGGTTGCGCGGCTGCCATTGTAAGTGCACTTCGCAAAGGGAGTGCTTTCCGGCACAAGAGTTGAGGCCACAAAAGCTCTATTCACCGTGAAAGAGACAGTTGTGGAGCAGTCCGGTCTTGTGAACGTCCAGCCCATGATTTCATTTTTATATGTTAATTTTTTAGATATTATATGAATATTTGGTTTTATGTTAATTTTTTATATGAATATTTGGTTTTGATTAGTAATCTACACATTTGTTTTGGATTCTCATTAATTGATAACTCTTTAAAAACCAAATTCAACATCACACACTATATACATCTTGCAATACAACCTCACTATCTCTTTCATTATTTATAATGAGATTGAGAGACTAGTCTCAACCAAAGTTTGTAAGTCAAGGACTATGTTAATTATTAGGCAAAATTAAGGCATGTACGTATGTGACATAAAAATTCACCAACTTCTAAAGCAGAATAAGAGCATAGAGCTAATAGTCATATAAAACACATTATATGGCTCCCTGAGCCAACAAATATTTCATCAATCATAGCTCTGGTGTGAGCCAACAAAATCTAGTATAAACTGAAAGCTTGTTAAATCGAATTCTGATTTTGTTCTGATCTTAGTTCTTCAGGTTTAAAACTTACATATTAACAACAATTGGCAAGTTAAATAAACCAGACAAGATCAAATAGAATTTCCGTACGAATAAATAAGCAGCTTTTTCTTACTCTTGCCTCAACTTCTTGATGCAAAGCTTCATATCCAAAATTTCACCACGCAATAAACTGTGAGGGATCAACATGAAACTCTCTTCAGGTATTTGGTAGCTCACTTTAAGAACTTTCTTCACTTTCGGTGATTCGTAAGTCATAGTGTGCCCATCCACAGTGTAGGAGAGATGGTATGAGAATTTTCCTACTTCTTGAAAAGACGGTGCAATGCAGCTTACAGTTACATAGACACCACACGGCTCCTTAAAACATTGCACTGCAAACACTAGGCTTACCTCATATTCAACTCTAATCAATATCTTATCGCTTATATTCATCCGAACATTAGCGAAAGTGTCACAACAGAACAACATATATTTGTTCTGGTGGTCACTAATAAAGTGACGGTACATGTTAGAGTATGAGCTAGTGTAATTGCAGTCTTGTAGAGGGCATGAGCAGAGGAGAGAGAAGCTACATTCCTTCTCATGTATTGACTGTTTCCCATAAGAGACATTCGTGGTGCAACCTAACTTGGCGTTCGGGCATGGGATAAAGATAGATTCAAGAACACTCTCCATTGCTCTGCTGCGAATGTGACCAACAGGCAAAGTACATGTAGGGCACTTATTACTCAGTTTGGGACAGCAAGAAGCGCAAGCTAAATGTCCATTATCACACTGAAAAGCAAAACCAATGAATTACAATCAAAGCTTTATTCAAGAAAAGAAACCTAACAAACAATTTACACCTATATGAATCACACAATTTGAAACATACCTGGAAGATAGGAACAGTGAACGGCTCGATGCAAATAGGGCAATCAAGAAAATCAAGATCCAGCATTGCCGATCGTGTTTCATCCTTTGTTTGTTGCCTCTTGTGCAAGTGAATGCTGCTCAAATCATTTGCATCGCTTGCGGCACACTCCATAATAATAATCCTGAAATTGAATTGAATCAGGTTAACTAGTCTACACACTTCAAATATATGAGAGATGGTTTTGGTTGAGTTCCAACCAATTTATAACGATGTATAAGTATTAATTTCAAAATTCAATTATAATGTTTGGATTCGACTCTAAATCATAACACACACACACACTAGATCAAAGTATCAAACACGAGATGCTAGTTGCCTAGTCCGTGAACAAACTTCGTCTTGTTTAGGTTTAGGTTTCTTGGATAAGAAGAAAGATAACTTAGCCCTCTATGAAGACAAAGTTCTTTTGTGCTTTTGCTTTTTATTTTTTTTTTGTCGACTGTCAATTCACGAGTACTATAGAGATTTCCATTTAAATAATCAATTTTAGTTATCTAATAAGGAAAACAAGTAATTGTCATAATTCCGTTTTTCTCTCAAAGGAATCTAATGATAATCACATATAATCTTCTTTTTTTTTTTTTTAACGAAATTTACCATATTCTGCAAATTAAACCTTCCAGAAGATGATGTATTTGGTGTTACCTCTCGTTCCTTTGTGGATTCAAAGAAGATCTGGTTTGTACGATGTGAAGTAATAAATGCTCTTCCTTTTTGTCTGTTTTTCCGCCATTGCTCTGATTAGAGGTGTCATACGGGCCGGCCCGCGTCCATCTGGGCCAGCCCGCGATAGGCATTTAAGTTTGTGAGACCGCGACGGGCCGGCCTGCTAGGACCACGGACAAAAATGATATGTCCAGGCCCGCCCCGCTAAGCCCAACGGGTTAGCGGGCCGGTCCGCGGGCTTAGTTTTAATATTTTTAAAATAATTAAAAAAATAAAATTAATTATTAAAATTTGAAATTACCAATTTTTAAATTAAAAAAAAAAAACTTTTAGTATTAATTTTTTTGTAAATCTTATAATTTTATACATTAAATTTCGTTATATTTCATATATTTCACATATATATTTTCAGAATTATGTAAAAGTATTTATTTATTTATATTAATTATTTATTTTTATTAAATATTTGTCGTCTACGGGCCGGCCCGCAAGTTATAAGACATATCTCTTAACTTAAGAGTTGTCCTAAGAAACTATCGATAATGTTGCTCTTACTAGTTAGATTCATCAGGCCAAAACATATATATTCCAACGCAGGTGGGGTACATAGACTAGTTCTTCAATAGACAAGGTTTCCATAGGAATATGCAAACAAAAACAGAAAGAACCTACAGAGAGAAATTATGAGCCCGCATGAACCTTAAGTCCAATGGCAATCTTCATCTCCAGAAATTCACCACGTAACAACGAGTGAGGGACAAACATGAAATTGTCTTGAGGGGTTTCAGAGCTCACTTCAAGAACCTTCTTCACTTCTGGTGACTTGTATGTAAGAGTGTGTCCATCCATAGAGTAGTAGAGACAATATGCAAGCTTCCCTACTTCAGGAGTAGATGGTGCAATGCATCTAACAGTCACATACAAACCATGCGGCTTGTAGAAACACTGCAGCGCAAACAATAGTCCCTTCTTAGATTCCTGAAGTACTAGAATATTACCGGTAGATATGTTCATCTGAACATCAACAGAACCACCGCAGACAAAGGATATAGATGTGGATTTGTTACGATGGTTATCAACAAAGTGACTGTAGATGTTATTGTATGATCCAGTGTAGTTGCAGTCCAATGCAGGGCAGGAGCATTGAGAGAAAGTGCATTCTTTTTCATGAATTGATACTTTCCCATAAGAGACATTTTTGGCGCATCCAAACTTGGCGTTTCGGCATGTGACAAAGACTGATTCGAGCACACTCTCCATTGCTCTGCAGCGATTGTGGCCAACAGGAGAAGCACATGTAGGGCACTTATTACTCAGTTTGTGACAGCAAGAAGAGCAAGCCAAATGTCCATTATCACACTGAAATGCAATACCAATGAAAAAACTATCGAAGCTTTAAAAACCACACATATTCGAGAAAACAAATCGGTCCTTGCAGTAAATATAACCAACCATCAAGAGAACATGAATATGGAATAGAGAAAACAGAGTAACTAGCAAATCGCAGTGTCACAGTAAATAAACCCAAATGTAAGCTTAAGAAAGGATATTTATCGATAGTAAGTAATAGTTCATGATCATGATATATACTTAATCTGGCCTAGTCATACAAACATTTTCAAAGGAGAAACTGCATTTCAGAGTGAAACAGATTGGAAACAAAACCTGAAAGATAGGAATAGTCAATGCCTCAAAGCAAATAGGACAGTCCAGAACATCCAAACCAAGCAGCATCCCCGAGCGTGTCTTGCCTTCTAATATCGAACTACGTTGCCTCTTTTTCAAGAGAGTGTTGTTACTCACTCCTTCTCTATCACTAGAGCATTCGTAAACCGAAGCTCCCACCACATCAACAGAATTACATTTGTTTTGATCCTTGTTCAGTCTATCTTGTCCACAACCATTGCCTCCTCTTTTAGTTTCAGTCTTCTTTGTGCAAGATCGTAAATGTCGCCACAAATTTGATGTGAAAGTAGGTGTAACCAAATCCTTACCACAATGAATACAACGACACCTTTCTTTGCCATCTTCTCCTTTTCCTATCGGTACAAACTCTTTCCAAACATCGTCTTTTACACAATGATTAGACTCAAAGACCGTTTGCGTCTGTTGTGTCTCACTTCTTACTAGTCCTTCAGTTTCTCCATCATCATCCTCCTCATTCATTTCAATACATTCATGCTTAACATTAAGAGTTACAGACTCCAAATCCATTTCTGCATTAATCAAAAACACATCAATGAAATTTCATGATTTCCATCACAAGAGCAAACACAAACACGTCTCTTGTATAACAATCATGAATATGAAAAAAACCCTAAATAGAGATTATAAGAGATAAAAGCTATGAATTTGATCAAACCCAGAAACGAACATGACAAAGCAAACGTATTAAGAGAGTAACACTATCTACAAGTAAAGAGAGCTTTAGAAACTAAGAACGAACATGAAATCCCTAAAGTCCATGCTAAATTTTGATTCGAATTAGCGACGTTCTCTCACTTGAATAGAACGAATGATTAATGGGTTTTCTCCAGAATAAGCTGCAGAGGATGAAGACGAAGACGAATCCAGAAAGAGCTGAGAAGAAGCAGAGAGATTTTGAGGCTTCTTTTTGAGAATCAGAATTGACTCAAGTGAAGAAGAGAGAAGAAAGCACAAAACGCATCGTTTCAGTGGAATAACAAAACTACGTCGTTTTGAGAACTTGAAAAATCAATTTTTTTTTATTATAACTCAAGGTATATCCTTAGGCTTATGCAGGAGTCCGAGCCTAATCACTAGGGAGATAATCCATAGATGGATTCCCCCCATGTAACCACATGGAAAATGTGGAACAATTCTACATTTGGGGAGTCGATCTCTAGTCTAGACCAACAGGACAACTCTTCCACCAGACTAGAACCACTTGCCTACCACACATGTGGTTCACATTTTGTTGTTTTTGTAAAAATACTTTGTTATTATTAAAATTTGAAAATTACACCAATTTTTCTTTTTTTAAAACTAATCTTTTGGTAGTATGTATTCATTTACAAACAACATGTCTTGATTGTCTTCATTAAAAATAAATAAAAGCTAATTTTAAATCTAATTATTCATATTTTCATAAAATTAGTGAACAAATCTTGAAAGAGTGTTGTATCCCAAAGGTTCCTTGTGCATATAGTAAATGGACTTATAATTGGAGCCTGAAAATTTGTATGGAGCCAAAATATCTCTTTAGGCTTTTATAAGAAAGTGGCTACATGCTAGAGTTTGAGAATTTCTTTTTACTTAGTTATAACTTCCTCTTCATGCAATAGCTCTGCTTTGAGCCTCAAATACTAGTGAATCACCAAAACACCAAACCATTAGGTTTCAAACGCTAGGTTAACTGCTACATTAAAAGTTTTCTCTGCAATCAAGTATATGAACAGTGTAGTGAACCGAAAAACGAACTAAGATTTTTGAATAATACTAAGCCCTCTTTCTCAGATAGAGGCTCTTCCATCCTATAGCCAATTCTTAGCCACTTTATGCTTCCTTCCTGAGCATACTCATGTCCCACTCACGAGCTCTTCTCCCTTTTGTCCTCGGCTTCTTCTTCATAAAGGCAATGGGAATCCTTGCACCTATGCCCTGGGAATAACAGCTGGTTTTCATTGAGAGACAATGGCTAGTATTGATAGGTTACATGCTATAGCTCTGCTTTGAGCCTCAAATACTAGTGAATCACCAAAACAAAAAAACCATTAAGCTTCAAATACTACATTGCGAGTTTTCTGCAATCTAGTATATCAACAGTGAAGTAGTGAACCGAAAAACGACTCTACAACGTAATTAACTTAACTAAACGAGTAAGAAGTTGGACTTCCTGTGCCATCACTATAGAGCTCGCTAGATTTTGCTTGGAAAAATTACTCAACCGGATCAAACCATGCCAAAGAAATTGTAAAGCCTCTACATTTAGAACTGATGTTAGGTATAGATTAATCAGGCCAGAACATACATATTCTAACGCAGGTGAGGAGGGTACATAGATCGATCTTACTAGTTCTTCAATAGACATGGTTTCCATAGGAATATGTAAGAAAAAAAGACTGAAGGAACCTACAGAGACATATTATGAGCCCGCATGAACGAACCTTAAGTCCAATGGCAATCTTCATCTCCCGAAATTCACCACGTAATAAAGAGTGAGGGACAAATATGAAATTGACTTGAGGTGTTTCAGAGCTCAGTTCAAGAACCCTCTTCACTTCTGGCGACTTGTAAGTAAGAGTGTGTCCATCCAAAGAGTAGTAGAGACAATATGCAAGCTTCCCTATTTCCAGAGTAGATGGGGCAATGCATTTAACAGTCACATACAAACCAAGCGGCTCGTTGAAACACTACAGCGCAAACAATAGTCTCTTCTTAGATTCCTGAAGTACTAGAATCTTGTCGCTAGCTATGTTCATCTGAACGTCAACTGAACCACTGCAAACAAAGGTCACAGATTTGGATTCGTGACAGTGGTTATCAACAAAGTGAGTGTAGATACCATTGTATGATCCGGTGTAATTGCAGTCCAATGTAGGGCATGAGCATTGGGTACATCACCAGAGTGCGGTCGGAAACAGGAGCGTCAATATTTTCGAGGAGATCTGACAAGGATTTGAGTTTTTGACAGTACGCCTGAATGGATCGATCTCCGATCTCAAGCGTACGCAGTTCGTTGTCAAGTTGAATCGCTCGTGCTTCTTTGTTGTTGCGGAATTGATTCTCGATGCGGACCCAGATGTCACGGGCAGAGCCTCCAGTTTTGAAGGAACTGCGGAAGAGTTGAGGAGCCAGCGTTCCATAGATCCAAAGTTTCACAAGACCATCACGCTTGTGCCATTGGGTATCATCGTCGCCAGTAGGAAGAGACGTGCCGTCGACATGACCAGAGACGTCAAAGGTAAGGCAGTGGGTAAGAAAGAGTTCACGCCACGCATCATAGTTGTGGTCGTCGAGATCCAAAATCAAGGGGATGTGAGTTTTGATGTTGGTAACACCAAAAGCTCGATCAATGGTGGGAGCAGCAGCAGGAGGAGCAGCCATTGGAGATGATGAAGAAAAGAAAGAAGACGGAAAAAGAAAGAAAGAAATCAAGAGCGATGAGGCTCTGACACCATGAAAGTGAATGAATTCCCTTGAAGGGATTGATCTCATTACAAGGCCTTAAGTAGCCAAAGGAGATACAGAGAATAGCAAGAATTATGCTAATTACATGATTACAGGGATTTGACTAGAGTCTAATATATACAGATATGTAAACTAAATATTGAATTGATTAGTTGTTATCTATCAGATAGAAAGTGCATTCCTTTTCATGAGTTGATTCTTTCCCATAACACACCTTTTTGGTGCATCCAAACTTGGCATTTCGGCATGGGACAAAGACCGATTTAAGAACACTCTCCATTGCTCTGCAGCGATTGTGGCCAATAGGCGAAGCACATGTAGGGCACTTATTACTCAGTTTGGGACAGCAAGAGGAACAAGCCAAATGCCCATTATCACTCTGAAATGCAACACCAATCAAAGCTTTAATAACCACACGAAATAAATCGGTCCTTGCAGTAAATATAACCATCAAAAGAACATGAATATGGAATAGAAAAAACAGATTAACCCACGAATCACATTGTCACAGTAAATAAACCCAAATGTAAGCTTATGAATATCTCAATTAATAATTAATACAGAAAAGATATTTATCGATATAGTATCTAATAGTTCATGATATATATACTCGATCTTGCCTAGTTTAAACACATATTTATCAAAGGAGAAACAGATTAGAAACAAAACCTGAAAGATAGGAATCGTCAATGCATCGAAGCAAATGGGGCAATCGAGAATATCCAGACCAAACAGCATCGCTAAGCTTATCTTGCCCTCTGATGTCGAACGACGTTTCCTCCTTTTCCAGACAATGTTTCTCACTATTCTGTCGCAGGAGTATTTGGAAACTAAGGCTCCCTTCACGTCAGTAGAATTATGTTTGTCTCTGTCGTGTTCATTATTGCCTCTACTTTTGTTTTCAAGCTTCTTTGAGCAAGATAGTAAATGGCGCCTCAAATGTGATGTTCCATAAATCCTTTCTATTATAAATTTCCTACCACAATTGATGCAATGACCTCTTTCTTTGCCATCTTCCCCTACTCCTACTGATACAAACTCTTTCCAAACATCAGCTTTTAAATGTTGATTAGAGTCAAAGACGGTTATCGCTTGAGTCTCACTTCGTACTAGTCCTTGAGTTTCTTCGTCACACTCCTCATTCATTTCCATACATTCATTCTCAGTATTAAGAGTTACAATTATTTCCTGTGACTGGAAATCCATTACTCTGCGTAAATTAAAAACAAAAATTATGTTATCATAACTGAAGCTAAGCAAGACACAAGTACACAACCACAGAACAATCATAAATAACCCCAAATATAGATGGTAAGCGATGAACATCACCCAAACAGCAAAAAATTACATACCAAAAAGAGCTATATGAGAGTAAAAGGGTAAGAAAACTGATACGGTTTAGTGTTTTATGTTTGGTTTCTCTTTAGCATTAAGGCAATTAAGTAATGTCCTTTTTAGAATAGAATAAGGTTTTGGTTTTACTTTTTAAAGAGCTTGTACGGGTCTTATATAAAGACCTCTTTTGATTAATAAAAATTCAACTTCCAAGAATTAACCTTAATCTCTTTGTTCTTTAAGCTTAAGCAACGGGTCCGATAACAAGAGCTAAGGCTAAGGCTTTGGTTCATATCAAAAAGAGAGAAAAGTTTGAACCTTTTAGATACAACATAAGCCGCAAGGTTAAAGATGCAGAGAAATTGAGGAAGAGACGAGAAGAAGCAGAGATTTAAAAGAAGAAGCAGAGATTTAAAAGTTTTCTTTTTTGAGAATCGAGAATGGGGTCTAGAGTGAAGTACAAGAGAGTGAGAAGAAGCATAAAACGCATCGTTTTAGTGAACTAAAGAACAGAACCAGTAGATAAGCTCTGTATCCCGCGGTTAAACGCATCGGTTTTTTTACTGTTTCTATTTTCTTACTCAAAAAGAAATTGTGGATGTGACTTGTGCATTGTTGTGGACCTTGTGGTTCGAGGAAGTAACACTTTGTAGTTGGTTAGTGACGTTTATGCCCTTGAGCAAAAGAGGCGAAAGTTTGAACGGAGCGAGCCAAAGGAAGATTTTGCCTATTGTTACAAAACAGGCGTAGATCTCATGAATGTCATGGAGCTGTAGTGCCTCCTGACCCAATCCTAGAACGACATGTTCCTCTAGTTCGACATATACCGATGGGAATGTTTTAAAACATGTCTATGTCTTTTCCATATATTGTAAAAAAAAAACTATAAATAATGTTAATATAAATAAAATTAAATTAAACTTTCATATAATGTTTCCAAATTTCAAAAACAGTTGAATAGTCCACAATTCTTTTTTAAATCACATTAATTTAGAATTTTATTATTAAAGATAATAATTCATTTGTATGTAAAAGGCCGCACATTTTTTAAAAGGCCATACAGAAAATATTTGTAGTAAAAAAAACTTAACAAAATTTTAGTTAAAAAGATCCTCAAATTTTGAGTGGCTTGTCTTCTGTGCTGGGCCTA